GTTGAAGCTGATAAAGACGCGATAAAGGCATTAGTTGATGTGAACCGGCAAATAACAACACGTGAGATCGGATTGAGGTTAAATTTATCAAATTCGACAGTTTATGACCACTCGAAAGGCCTGGGATTATCGTCGAAGCTCGATGTATGGGTTCCCCATGTTCTCACAGAGAGAAATCTGTGTCGCATTGACGTCTGCTATTCGCTTCTCAAACGTCACGAAAATGATCCGTTTTTGAAGCGCATCATCACTGGGGACAAAAATGGGTTGTATACAACAACGTCAAACGCAAGAGGTCATGAAGCAAAAAAGATGAACCGGCTCAAACCATTTCCAAAGCCGATATTCACCTAAAAAAGGTGATGCTGTCTGTTTGGTGGGATTTTAAAGGAATCGTTTTTTTTNAGATATAATGCGAGAAATACTTTACATTGACCATTGAGAAATAGGGAGAATTACATTTAAAGAAGAAGAATCTCTCTAATTTGTCCTTCGAGATAAGTATGTGAGTGAGACGAGTGTTTCAACGAGGGGTCAGGAGACAATTGACCAAAATTATTCTTCAATTGTAAACATAATACAGGGTTCGATTTTGACTAATTCGATCATCTCCAATTTTAAAATTACATTCTTTTACAAAACATGTATTTAATGTTTGAGAATCTTATTTCTCAATCATCAAAATTGACCAACAATTAGCAAATAAAGAAGACCGATGACAATGATACGCCTCTTATAGTTCGAAAGATAACTAACAATAATAAAGTATAGAATTGAAACATTTTTTAAGTTTTAGAAAATACTACAAATGGCGCAGTAAACGCCATCTGTAGCACGATGCTACATTTTAGGATTCGCGTCTCTGGCAGTTTCGACAGAATACAGACCACTTCGAATTATTTTATTTTTTAAGTTCTTACGTGTAACCTTATTGTTTTTTTTGTTTCTTTTTTATAGGCCGTTTGGTAAAGGCAGAGATATTTCCATTCTTAAATTGAAGTCTCCCTTGATATGGAATGACTTCGTGAAACCGGTGAACATCCCTTTGCATAGCGACCAACAGTTTGTAGGTAATGTCGAATTCCCTGGATGGGGAGAACTCGCGCCCTTAAGTGTCACTTCGTCACAAGTTCTTCATGTTAGTCAACTGAAACTTTGGACGTTTGAAGGTGTATTTGCGATTTTACAACTCTTGACTTTATTGCATAAGTTGAAGTCACTTTAAACCTGTTCTTTTCTCTCTAGCAGCAAAGCATTTTAACGCAATTTTTTATTTTAAATACTTACGTCAAACATTATGCACTTATTAAATTAATACATTGTAGGGTCATTTTAAGAAGGCGAAATTTACCATAAAATAGGGTTGCGAACAATGAATTACTTTGTCATTACATTGTCTACAGACCTATATACTATTGCAAAGACTATTGGAAATGGTTTCCATTTTGCATTAATTATTACAAAAGAAGCCTTTAATGGAAAATATTTACAAAACTAATACATATTGTAAACTATCTACATTAAAGTTTTATGCTAGGTTGGAGTTGCCCTACTTTGGATTTCCGTCAGTCCAATAGTTTACTGTAGAATTTATCTTCCTAAACTAATTGAAACCTTGTTATTCTACAGAGTGTAGTGAATACTTCAAGAACTTCACAGACTTTTTTTACGTCACTCAGTACACAATTTGTACCGATGGTCCCGGTAGCATTTCCGATTGTTGGGGTGATCTAGGAGGACCTCTACTTAAAGATGGCGTTCAAATCGGAATATCTTCTTGGAATTTCAATCCGTGCGGAGAGGGCACTCCGCTGGTCTTTACTAGCACTTATATGTTTATTGATTGGATTAAAAAATTATGTATAAAGCTATATCTTTTTTATCATCATCATCATTTGCTTCGTCGCTATTAGTCGCTCCGATACATCGCACTACGCGATTTGAGGCTGCATTTTCCAATCTTGCTCCTCACTACTATAATCTCTTACCTCGCGATTTTAAAAACCTGAGCATTGACAGTTTCAAAACTAACGTGAGAGATTTTATTCTAAACAACTTTTGAATTTTCTTTTATTTGTCAATCCTATCAATTGTCTTTTTAACTATTCTATGTACTATATATTATTCTTAACTTCTGTTAGTTATCTTTTGTATCTGCAATCGACTTGTTGGTCATTTCTATACTACGCGTTCATTATTTGAATAGTTGCATATAATTTGTTTGTTGTATAGTTGTAATTATTTATGTGAATTTAAGAGCAATAAAGACATTATTATTATTATTATTATTATCTTCAGGTTTTCAGCACGAAGACTGGTTGAGCAACTACTCCTTTTCCTATCTTTAGCTCTACCCTTTTTAGCCCTTCTTTCTACATCTAATATGTCTCTAAATAGCCCTTCATGCTTGAGAAGGTATCAACCTACCTCGCCTATTTCTTATTGACTAGCGCCATCTGTTCTTATACTGTTTCTACTACCTCCTCATTTCTAACCTTCTCCATCCACGGTATCCTCATCATTCGGCAGTAACATCACATTTCGAACGCTACTAACTTTTTGATAATGTAGCCCTTCATGTCTGAGAAAGTGTCCTGTCTCCAGTTTTATACCGCATACCTTTGTAACGTAAGATACTGCAGGTATCTTAAGGCTTACGATTTTGAAAGACATGCTATCTACAACAAGTGTTCGAACGGTCGCCTGTAGTAGTTGTAAAAAAAATTTAGAACTCTATGTCTTCCAATTCCATAAATGGCAATAAAAAGAAGTCTGAAAACTCTTAAAGTACTTCAAATGAAAATGAAAACTTCCTCGTCTTGTGCCAACGGGATTCATCCCTCAAACTCCCTTTCTTTTCATTGGCAAACAATTTGAAAATTTTACATCACACGCGACCGTTAAATTGGTATTAGTTATCATACCTTACAAAGATATGCAATAATAGGTCACCGAAAAATACATTTTCTTACACACATAATTTTAATTTCCACTATCACTGGGAAATGTGCATCGGTAATGAACTTTTTTTATTTTTATTAACAAGGTGCAAATTAACAACCCTCAAGAAAACATTGTGTATAAAATCGGAGGTCACCACCTCCAGTCCAACTATCGTAACAAAAAATTTGTAATATGTGGTCACCAGAAAAAATATAATTGATATTTATATACTTAACTATTTTTAGAATTATTTTTTACTTCTTCGTTCATTTGGAAATAAATCATTTCATCATTTTTATGTTACTTCACAAAGCAGCAGGTGTGCAATTTATGAAGTAGAAAGATTAATAAAAATCGTAAAAGAAATAAAACCCAACATTGCGTATTTTTATTATTTGGAAAATACTTTGATAGTTACGCAATAAAAAATAGTACAATTAGTTTTCAGGAAAGCATTTTACACTATTTTCGATTACGAAATTTGTTGAATATTTTTTATGAGATAAGCACATAAATAAATAGGTATTGTTGGAAATAACATCAATTGTAAGCAACAAATCACAGACATGAAATTCTTTGTTTTGTTTTTAACTGTGTCCGCTGTCACAGGTATGTTAATATGATTTGCTAATAATAGAATTGCTAAAACTTCCCAGTGTTATTAAATAAGTGAATATCTACTGTAAAAAAACCTAACACCAAAACGTAACAGCGAAAATTTCAATATTTTATACTTGGTTCAAAATAAGAGAAAACATGGCTCTGAAAACAGAGAACAGTTGGGCAGCAATTTTCCGAAACCGCCATTGAAACTACTTATGGTTTAAGCAAAGCTGATAAGAAATCGCGAACCACATGTGGTAGTTTTGATAAGCTGATAGCTGACCAATATCTTAACATTTCTTATTAATGTAGTTTAGTACGTGAACGAAGTACATGGATGTCCGCCATATTGGATTTCGATCGTATATACATATACCTGCAGCAGGTGACTTTAACAAATAGTTTCTGAGTGACCCACTGCAAATTTTTATTTCAATTGTGGATGCTTCTAAATCCAACTGAGTCAAGATCTCTGAACTGACAGGCAGTTGTCGATATCATTTGTAGATTTGTAGAAGAAGTAGATATATGTGTGTGCCTATGGCCCTTAAGAAATTAATGAAATATTACAGTTAACAATGAACAACAGCAGATGACATACATCTACTGCCAATAAATTGAAATCACACTAGATTTCAAATATTGCTTAACTTTCCACAACAATTGTTTTGCCATATAATGGCTTCATCAGGTACGATAAGGAAAGCAGTATTTCAGGTTTCAAAATTTCAAATCAAAAACTTAATGTTCTTTATTGGTTTGTTTTATGTATTAGCCTGTCAATGTCCATGTCAATTATATAAAATACCACAGTCACCTGCAAATGTCAGTAGATGGCGACAGAATACAACCAATAACTTGATGTGGCTGAAATTTTCAAAACCAAAATATCCATATCCCATAACATGATCTTGTGAATACTCACTGACCATTTTGGCTTCTCTTAATCATATATTTTTAATATATTCGTAATGAGTAGGGGCACAATACGCATTCAATCAGATTGATGTTTTCTTTGCAGGTTCGCCTTTAACTGAAGAAATTTCTCAATATCGCTTTAAAAGAAAGATTACTGTTGACCTAACTGAGTTTCCGTACCATGTTCAACTGGTGTACAAATATAATGTTCCCCTAATTACGAGATGTGGTGGGGTTATAATTTCCGAAAGCTATGTACTGACCACTGCCAACTGCGTTAGTATGTCACCTATAGCAATAATTACTGGTATTCAGCAAATGAATGAAATTTCGCCTTTTAGACAAATGGGAAAAGTAAAAAAGGTGAAGATTCACCCCTCATACAGTAGGTAAGTGTAAGTGCAAACCATTCTCTAGTAAATTCAAACGCTTAAAAGCATTCTGAAGAATTTGTTTATTGGTCAGATTTTGTTATTACGATAATGCTCTCTGTTTTTCATATGTTTTAGTGTTACCGGAACTTACAACATTGCATTAATAATGCTCGAATTTCCCTTGACATTCAATTCAGCTGTAAATAAAGTTGAACTACCGCCAACTTCGTATAAACTAAAGGACATTGCGCAACAAATAGCATGGGGACGGCGATTATTATTTTCTCTTAAATACACATTAGAAGTTACGGGAAAACAACTAACCAGTAAGTGCAGATCAGCTATTTCAGACACACTAAACCAAAACAACTCAACTAATTAACGAAAGGACTAAGACATTCACAGACGGCATTATTTGAAGCGGTTTTGATATTTGGTCTTGATGGTTTAGAATTTGCTTTTCCTTCTTCGGTGAGTATGTAGATGGGCTTCATCTAAGTTTCGGATAGACAGATGGTTTATTCTACTTATCGCCAGTTGCTGTGGTTGTTTGGAATTTTCTGGGAATGTGGTAATAGCTGAATTCCTTCGTTTAGGTTGTGCTAATACAGCCATACTGTCAGGGGAAGGCAGCTGGGTAAACGCCCAAAGCGGCAGAAACGGGGAGCGGCAAAATTTAGAGCATGGAGAGAAAACTCATAAAAATTAGAGTGCTCAGCAACCCGACGAAATCATTTTCTCTAACTTTTCCTTTTTTAAAAATTGCTATTTTAGCTAGAGAGTATAAATTCGTAGATGGACCAACAGATTTTAAAATGCTGTCTTCTAATTCCCTTAATGCTGTCACCTAGCAAGCAGCTAAGCATTAAGAAAAATACGAAAGAAGTAACCAACTCTTTTGAGCAGACGAAATGTGATGATCGTTCAGGATTTTTGAGTTGAGAATACAAGGAAATTATCTCGATTCTTTTACCGATTTTAAATTTCTTAATTAGCAAACCTTTTCGTTTCGATTATGTATCACAAACATTTTTCACCTACTTTGAGAAAAGTAATTGTTTTCGATGGTTGGTATGTATGTAATATAATATTTTTTGAAGGATATCCTTTTATCCTACAACAAGACGTTCCAGGGGATTCCCCAAGGTGATTCGCTTATCTGTATAAACAAAAATTCGGATTTTATTTTCTCATTAGTTTAACATAGTTTTCTGGAGACTCCTGGTAATAATGGTCTGTACTGGAGACCCATTTCTGTCACATTTCGGTGTTAAGGTATAAGTACTCGTTTATAAGCCCCAGTAGACTAATATGTCAATATTATACAATTTCAATAATATTGCATAGATACACACATAGTAATAACAGGCCCATGACATATAAAACATCATTGTACAGTCTATTTCAATTTGTTAGAATTGTGACCTTGACGAAATCTGCGCGAAAATAGAAAGAATACACACTAGGCGTGAGCAAGACAGAAATAGTTGGAACAAGCTTGAACGAGCAGAGCGCTCGATGGGCGTTCTTAGGAGATCGACTAGAACTGTACAGTACTAAACGAAAATGTTTANTAGTCATTCGACAACCAGAAGTATCTGCGCATGCCTTGTTAGGGGGCTGTAATAGTAGGTCAATAAAAAAATTGTTTTATTTCATACCTTCCCAAAATTTGACAATATGTGTGATGCAAGTCGAACATATACCTACTTGGAAATTTAAAAAAATTAGAAAGTAAAAGCATGGATATGTATTCTTAAATTAAATCATGTGACTCCGAAGATTGCTGATTGCACATTAATGATCGTGATTAGTGATTACTTGATTACACAAACAACATCTAATCCCAAACAAAGGATGACTAATAGTGAAAGGAGTAGACATCCAATAAAATTTATGTTAACAAATTAAAAATAAATACATAAAAGAAAATTTAAAATGCTGTTATAGATGATACCATATTTATTATTTTTATATCAAAATGATAAGAAATTACTCTCCAAACTACAAATAATTAGAGCAAAAACGGTTCGTAAAGATATATTTTATTAACGCCATTTTAAGGTAGATTAAGGGCAAAAGAAACTTTAAGAAGATCACAAAAATTCACAATCAAAGCCGGTCCTGTGAGTGAATTGTGAACATAGATATTTATCGAAAAGCATAGTGTGATAAAAACTCTGCAGCTACTTAAATGGAAATTGTGAACATTGTCGATCATCTAATATCTAAGATAAACATAAACAATTCAGTACTACACTATCTAAATTAAATAAATACACTACAAGCAGCACTATGTAAATGTATTAACACAAAAGAAACAAGAAACGCAAGCTACGTAAATATTAATCGATAAGTGAGGTTCACCTGGATAATTGTAATTCTGTTAAGACAAATTTCCACACTGCCATTGAGGTATTGCCAAGGCGCGTTGTCTTTTTCGGGTGATTGTAAGTTTACAAACAAAATTAAATATCAGACACCCTAAATTACACTTAATCTAATCTAACAATTAAACAACACATGAGCAAAAAAATACAAAACAAATTCCAAACTGATTACCAGCTGATTGAGTGCAGCATTGCGAGTCGTATTTCTTTGCCAGGGCCGGAATTGAACTCCTGCAAGTTCGGCACTTAATTTTGTTTCTCCCCGTATACGTAATAATAATTACATATTTATTTAAACAATGTTTTGGAAATATCGTGCTGCTCCAATCAACGAACAACAGTGATCTCCTAGACTAGAGCCACCAATTGTGTTTCCTCGCTAGAATTTTGGTCTCAATTGCAAAAATTTTAGGTTTATATAAACTTTGTAAGCACACATACCAACACAGTATACATATACCTATTTTATCAATATGTGAACCTCATCTGTTGCTGGGTTAAATAAAATGTTTGTTAGTTTTTCTAAATTGAAATTGATCTATCCGAATAATCTGCCGTGTGCATTAGAGAGCGGCAACGTTTTAGCATATAATGGGAAAACAGAATGGCCCGACGTGGAAAATTTAATTGCCAAATAGCTAATTCGATTTTGTTTCAAGTCATTTGCTAATTGGATAATTCTGAACCACTCTAATCCCGAAAAGCCCTAAACGACTGAATTAAGCAAGTACGTAATTGGATAAACTGAAAACGTAATGACCTTACAATAATAACAATTGAAGTTGAGAGTGCACACATTGCATTCTGGAAAGAGCTTTGTACTTTCCAAAATTAAAACAGTTGAAACCGTCGACTTCTCTATTGAATTTTGAGTAATTAGCATATATTACTTTTAACCGACTGAGTAGTTGACAAAACAGGAAACAATAACTAAACTGCACACTGTCATTGCGACTCTTTCGTCACTCTGGTTCAAATTTATTTTTTATTATTAAGGTGCGTCCAAATGGATACGTGACAGTTGCGTGACTTTTTATCCAAGAGGCCGGCGTCATGCCAATGACGGAACTATCACCCCCGTCCGTACAAATATTGCTGGCGTAATCGTCATCGAGATCCCTTCGTCCCCATGTCATCAAAAATAGGCAAAGCAAAGACCCTTACCCCTTTTGATGCTTACATAATACTTAAACGACACCTAAAAATAATGGTGTTAAGGTTAAATTCGTGTCTTTACATGACAACGGCATACTAATAGACAAAATAAAAATGCGATTGTTGATTACTGCATCGGTGTATATGTTACCGGAAATGTATTATATCCGTCATTGTATACATTTCCTAGGAAATGTATATAATTCCTAAAATCGCCCGGAAATGTGTGTAATAAATTATATTAGACATATTTCCTAGGAAATCTATACATTTCCTAAATAGCAATCGGGAATGTATTACAGGTAATGCTAAATCGGTAATAATACGGCAGGCTATTTGGAGATGTACCTATATCCATTGATGACGTCATTTTTTGGTTAAAGAGATTTATGACAGACTGGAGTTGACTCAATGCTCCTGCCTTTATATGGCTGGTTGGTATGTTAGATGTTAGAATAATATGACCAGGTTATCTTTGTTTTAGCAAATACAATGACCTTGAATTTTTAGTATGTTGTAGAGGTGATAATGCTGATGTTGAGCGCGGACATCATAATGAAGCGTACCTTTCGAAGACATTATTCCAACATAGCAACAGGGACATTTACCTAATAACCATACACTAACGTCACTAATGCATATACATCTCCAAACCTAACCTAACCAAACAATAACGTCACCAATGCATGTACATCAGGCGATCGCACTAGAACCGCGTAAACACAGATAACTCTGATTCTCAGTTTACTAACGTGTTTTATTCATTTTATTCACAGAAAGCATTAGTTTTATACATTTTATAGTGCAATATCGGAATTCATAGAACTCCCAGAAAATGTATACAT